CTATATGCTCAGTTTTAATATTTGCCCCCAAATTACCAAACAGATAGGGGGCTAAGGTTCCTCAGTTTTCAAACTTAAAGCACTTCAGTTCTCTCATGTGGCTAACTGGTTGGGGAAACTGACACAGAGAGAAAATTTGTCCAGAGGATAAGTTCATTATTTCTGCTACCTGCTTGTTCTCATTTCTTGCATCTTTATGTGAAGGTAAGTTCAATCAAATCTGAGAGGGGTTTTGACCCATGAACTTATATCTCAGTGTCTTCCCCTTTTCTTCTTCAAATTATTGCTGTTCTCATCATATCTCTTTATACCTTACTCCCCTCCATCTACTCCATGATCCATTGACACTGGCCTATATTCTATTCCTCCCAGAAGACACTCCATCTCCCAACTTGGCCATTCTCATGCCTGGAATTCTTTCCCTGCTTATCTGCTCCCCCTCACTTTCAAGTCTCAACTAAAATTTTTCCTTTCTCAAGAAGCTTTTCCTGATCCCCGTTTGATGCTAGTACTTTACTTCTTAATTATCTTCAGTCCATCCTGTACATATCTTGTTTGTACATCATTGTTTGCATGTTGTCTCCCCTCATAGACTTTGAACTCTTTGAGAGCAGGATTTTTTTTTGCCTTTTTTTGTATCCCAGCATTGAACACAGTGTTGGATACATAATATGCACTTGACAAATGTTTACTTGATTTTTAAAGCTTTTTGTTTTTGTTTTTATTTTTCCAGCTCTTTGGATTGCCAGGGGAGATGTAGGTTTATGAACAGCCACTCACCAGATATCTTGGTAAGAGTTTGGAGCCTCTGGGAGAATATGCTTAAGAAACATTCTAATGACTTGTGGCAAGGGAGATCCTAAGGAAACAAATGATGGTGGGCCTCTCTTCTGACCATGCTGTGAGGTATCTTCCAGACCAGCATTTACCTGCCATTAAGTATGCCCCTGAAGAGTCTATAAACATAGCCAGGGAAAATCAATGTAGGTCTAGTCAGATGAGGCTAAGCACATGTAGTGTGAGCTGAGGGAGAGAGACTTCTTGGGCATCTTTCCCTTAGAGATGACAGTGGTTTGGCCTGTGTATGTATAGGGTCATGATTTTGTACCCCCATGGATGCAGAAGAATGGATGAGGGAGCTGAGATTTCAGACCACATTAGGATGATCAGATTTACTGTTGATGAGGGTTTTAAAGCCAGTGTTGTTATTTTTGTTTGCTCCAGATTAAAGAGTCCAGTCAACTTGCGTGTGAATTAGAAATTCTTTCAGGTCACACAAAGTTGGGAAAGGGATTAGAGGCTCAATAGGCTGAGGAACCAGCCATTTGATAAATTATGGATAAATTGTTGGGCATATTCACACCCTAAGAAAGGATAGAAACTTAGAGTGAGGCACTAAAATGTCCTAGACATGTAGAGTGAGAATGAAAGAGGACTCAGGATGTAGAGGGGTGAGGTCCTGCTTTAAGACAATTTTTAGTCCTCATGCTCTTTGCTACTTTGCTGCATTTAATAATATTGACCAACTTCTATACATTTTCTCTTCCTCATTTTTTTCCTGTTTCTCTTACATATATAACTATTTCTCATCATTTTAATTTTGAGAACAATCTTTCATATTCTATCCTCTGTGTGTGGTTGTAAACCAAAGCTGTTTTCTGGCTCATCTCTCCTTCTTTCCGTCTATGTCTCTCTCTTTCTCTCTTTCTCTCACCTTCCCCACTCATACCCACAAACAATAATGCAATTTTAAATTTTTTGGTGCGTAAAAGAGTCAGTAGCAGAAGATAAGCAGGTGTGAGGCAATTACAATATACTCTGTTAATCTCATTACTTCATCTTTCCCTAAAAACCTACTGTTCTTTAGAACTTTGATATCACTGTCCAAGGCACGTCCAAGTTTCCAGTAATCTTAATTCACATCTTTGGTGTCACTCTCAGCCCCTAATACTCCATCACTCTACTTCTCTAATCTGTTGCCAAATCTGTTCATTTTGCCCCTAAAAACATCTCCCAATCTTCTCCCCTTTTCTATTTTTATGCAGACTCTTGACCCCAGCTTCAACACCTCATGACTTCTTGCCTATACTATCAGAAGAACCTCCTAAGTGGTTTCCCTGGCTCAGGTCTCTCCCTTCTACAACCCATCCTCTCTACACACAAGCCATAAGTATGTATGACCATGTTACACTCCTCACAAAGTTCCAGGGTCTTTAGGATTAAATATTCCATCTTTATCTCATGCTTTAAATTCTTTATTTTGCATAGTTTTCATAATATACATAATTTTGAGTAGAGCATTTATAAATATGTAAATTTATAAATATGGAATATCCTCTTCTATTTTTTCCCCACTACAAAATAGGGATGTGTGATAAAAGAAAAAGTGACTTGGAGTTCATTGGTCAACACCTTGAGATGAATGTCTTGTGTCTTACCAGACCAATTGGGTTTCAATAAACCTGGAATATGTAAACCATTGGTGTTAAAACAAAACAAGTCCTCCTATGGTATGCATATCTCTTCACATAGGGTGTTTATTCAACAACTCATTGTCAAATGTTAAAAGGATGGAAGCTCTATGTTTGTTTGTTGTTGTTCTGTCATTTTATTTTCTTTTTTTGTGAGGCAATTGGGGTTAAGTGACTTGCCACAGCTGAGGCTGGATTTGAACTCAGGTCCTGTGCTCTATCCACTGTGTCACCTAGTTGCCACCTGTTTGGTGATTTCAGCAAAGATACTTCAGGGTTTTGCCATTTCATTCTCCTGCTCATTTTCCAAATGAGTAAACTGCAGCCAACAGGGTTAAGTGACTTGCCCAGACTCTCACAGCTAGTAAGTGTCTGAGGCCAGCTCTGAATGCAAAAAAATGAGTCTTTTTGACTCCAGGCTCTGCACTTAATCCACTCTACCACCTAGCTACCCATAAAGAGATGTATGAGATCCTACTTGTGTTAAAAGTCCTCCAGCCTACATTGTTCATTATAACCCAAGTGGAATCATTTGCATTCATCGAAGGTGTTCTTAGGTGGTTACAATAAATCATGATCTATAATAAAATTATTTGGACCATCAGATTTCCCTTGTTGTATTCTAACATAATGGCAAAAATGAATCATAAAAGCTAGGAAAGAGTCTGAAGATAGAGCAGACACTTGTGGGACATTAAAACTGTTGCTCACAGAGTAAAAAAAAAATCTAGCTGGGTCTCTATCTGGAGGAAGTGGAGATTGTATATACTGGAAATTTGACTTCAGGGATCCTGCTTCCTTTGAGCTCATCTGCTCTTTTTGCCTGGCAGAAACACCTTTTGGAAGCCCAGCCTGAGGTCTTGAGTCCTAAATGCATACACAATAGGGTTGAGGGCTGGGGGGATGATATTGTGCAGTACATTAAAGAGCACAGGGATCAGGGGATACTTTCTCCCTGCCAAGTGGGTGACAAAAATCACAGCAATAACAGTATAGAAGAAGAGGATGAGGATGAGGTGGGAGCTACAGGTGCTCAAGGCTTTGGATGCAGCTTCTGCCGAGTTCAGCTTTAGCACAGACCAGAGGATCAAGACATAGGAAAGGATGATCAGGGTTAAGTCAACCCCCATTATCAGTGAGGCCAGGATCATCTGGCAAATGCTGTTGGGCCTCCTGTCATCACAGGCCAGGCTGGTGACCCCCAAGTTGGAGCAGAGGCAGTGTTCAATCTCATTGGAGGAGCAGTAATCTCTCTGAGCAGCCAGCACAGGCACTGGGATAACACCCAGTCCATTTCTGAGCACCATGAATACTGTGGCTTTGAAGACAAAAGAGTCTGTGACAATGGTGGGATAGCGGAGGGGATGGCAAATAGCCATATATCTGTCAAAAGCCATGCAGAGGAAGATGCCTGACTCCATGCCTACAAAGCAGTGTATGGCATAGATCTGAGCAAAGCACTCAGGGAGGCTGACGGCTTTGGCATCGAACCAGAAGATGGCCAATATCTTGGGTGTGATGGTGGTGGCCAGGCCCATGTCCACTATAGACAGAATGCTTAGGAATCGATACATGGGCTGATGCAATTTGGGGTCCTTCCAGATGGTGATAAAGATGAGCAGATTGGCACCGATGGAGGAGAGGTAGAGTAATGCCAGGGGCAGAGACAGCCAGTGTTGCCAACTATGGATTCCAGGGAGTCCCATAAGGATGAATTCTTTCACCTGGAAGTGGGAGCCATTGGAAGAGTCTTGTAGCTGGAGTCATCATTCTCTGAGAAGAAAAGTTCCCCAGAATCATTATTTTACATGTTTTCTACCATTCATTAGGGTTTAGTAAAGGCCTGTCTGCATATGGAATAGTATTTCAAAATGTACACACAGAATTCTAACAATAGTAGCCCTGTCCCTTAATGCCTTGCAATTCTAAGAAATACCACAATTCTGAGATACAGACTACAAGGATCCAGGGTCTGTTGATGTGGGGACAAAGAGTGCCCTTGGATTAAAAATAATACTAAGGGTTACTTTCCCAGGCCCCTGAGGGGGTTTGAGGCTCATTCTGTAGCCCATTCTGTACCTTGAGATCTTGGAACTTGAGAACTTCTCAAGTCCTTTTCCCTTATCTTGAAATGCCATACAACTTGTTCCAAAAGCATTGCCTTTGCTTCCCTTACCCTGAGTTCCTTATCCTGTCATTCATCTTCCTCATCCTGTGTCATGACAATTTTTCCTTATCTTGTAAATAACCATCTTCCTCATCTTGTTTATTCTCAGTCTGTCCCTAATCTCCAATCCCCATAAGAAACGCTAAAAATACATTATCCTACAGGCTGTGTAGCTTTCTGTCTATGTAAGCCTGGATCTTTTCCTATATTCGAGCTTTTGTTTAGTTCCTTGCTAACCTCCGGTCTGTGAAGTTTTCACAAAACAAAGCTCCCAATGGTTACAGAGAAGATCTAAGTGAATTCTTTCACATCTAAACCAGCTCTTCCAACTCTAAACCTCAACATAAAATGGTGCCAAAACCTGGGAGTCCAAATATTAACTGGACTCTGCTGATCTTCTGCTGGTCCCTGGGATAACAGGTAAGCGCCCTTTTCATTGTTCTCTTCCTCAGACCTGTTCTCCCCCTACTGTCTCCCTGGCTGAGAGACTGCTGGAGTGCCCACACACTGCCAGTGGCATCTGAAGCTCCACTGACTTCTGGGTGGTCAGTTGGACTGTTGACCCTCATATAAGGGGATGCTCTTGTGCTGGGTCAGTCACATTTTTTTCCTCTCAAGTGTCGGCGAGAGGCTGCTAGGAGACTAGGATGGGAAATTCGGGGAAGGAGATTAAAGAAAAGTGCCTAGTGTTCCATTGTAACACAGCCTGACCTCAATGTCATCTAGAAAAATGATTTGTAAAGGGGATTTCTAAACAAGACAAGTTTAGTAAGAAATTTGATCTCCAAAACTTAAAGAAAAGGCACCCTGCTCTTCTTGAGCAAACTTTTATTTCCCCTGCACCTTAGTTTTGGAGGTGTTGTTCCTTCCCCTCTCCCTTGGGACGTTGAGGAGGCCAGTGGGAGAGCCTTTACGCCTGGTTTTCTTTGGGGGTCCCTGCACCCTGCTTTCAAGATCTCATTTTCTCTCGTTTCAGCTCAAAATTCCCAGGAGGATGGGAATGGAGAGCTGGAATGTTTAAGGCTTATCTGATAAGTCTCAAAGGTAAAAGAGAGGAGGAACTACAGCTCCTCTCCAGCCAAGACTGGAAGGTATGTAAGCCTCCTCTCTCTTCCTATCCCTTTCCTCACATTCAGCTTGACCTCTCAGGCTCTTAGTCCAGTGGTTCGAGGCTAAGGACCTGGGCACACCTTCAGCAGCATAGAGAACACACTCCCTATCTGGAAGCTTATGCACAATTCTGTCAATTCTTTCAATTCTCTTGGAGCTAGGGAATTGGGGAAACTGCAATTACTCCCTTCCTTCTATACCCCAAAACTCCTGGGAATTCCAGCTCAAGGAAGTAAAAGGTTATTTGTATCTGGGAATTTTCACCAGGTGTCTTTAAAAAAAAGTACATTTATGACTAATTATCTTTTCTTTTAAAGTGCTAAGAGTATTGGGCCTTAGAAATTAAAATGTTACCATTAGTGATTATGAATCCAGATCTGGTTTGCTCATTCAAGTAATTTTAAGGTCACCTGATTGGTAATTAACTGGTTTCAAGCTTTAAATACATCATAATTACTTGTGGTTTGGTTATATTTCTAAATTTTCTTGTATTGTGTAATTTGGTTAACAATTGTATCACCTGTGTTGCTAGAAAAGCAATTTCTCTTATAATCTAGAGATTGTTAGATCAAGAATTGTACTGTAAGATTATGAGGTTGTTAACTAAGACAAAGGTTTTTGGAACTATATAGTCATAATTTCTTATCAACCCTGTGCAAAGTCTTCTACAGTGGAATTCCCACTGAGTAAATTTTTAAAGTCCTGGTAAATCTCTATTATTATGATAAGGCTAATTTAATTGAGTATGTTCTTGCCTTAGAAAAAAAAATTGAAACTTCCCAAGGTAAGCACCTTTTGATACTTAGGAATTTGTGATTATTGAGAATTCTGGTCTCATGGCACCTTGGGGGATTTGTGATACTTAAAAGACATTTTACACCAACTTGGTTTTGATAAAGTCCAATCCTTAAGGTTTCCAGCTCATTTACTTCATGAAAGTTTAGTGATTATTCCTTTTAACATCAGGATAAACTGTAAGTTTTATTTTTAAGAAAGGGAAATACTTTTTACTCAGAAATGTTTTGCAAAAATCTTTTTGTGTGGTTTTTAGAAGGCCCACTAAGTTTTCATTTGCATGCTGATTTGTTGCAATAATAGTTTTATACTGATAACAATTATGTCCAAATCTACTGTGAATTTTTCAAGTTTCATTCCTAGGTTTGTTGTGTCCTTGAATTGACCTTAAAAGCATTCTTTCAGAGAAACAGAGTCAATGGTTCATACTTCAGGTACCATAAGAAAGGGTACTGGCCTCTCAAATGTAGGTCTGATTTGTGTCTTCTTGCCTGCAGAAATTGCACTTTCAACTCTTAGGATACCAGCCCTGACCCTTGGTGTCCCCAAATGGTTTGCCTCTCTCCACCCTGGACTCAGCTGGCACTGAATTCTGCACCCCAACCCTGAGCTCCCTTCTTCAACCTCTTCTTGGCCCTTGAAATGGAGTCTTCACCACTGTTCAGCAAGAAGCAGCTACTGAAGATAACAACCTTCGCCCCTTTTTTCAAAAGATTTCTCCTGCCTAGTGTTTGAGTGCGGATATGATGTGGGGACAAAGAGTGCCCTTGGATTAAAAATAATACTAAGGGTTACTTTCCCAGGCCCCTGAGGGGGTTGGAGGCTCATTCTGTAGCCCATCCTGTACCTTAAGATCTTGGAACTTGAGAACTTCTCAAGTCCTTTCCCCTTATCTTAAAATGCCATACAACTTGTACCAAAAGAATTGCCTTTGCTTCCCTTACTCTGTGTTCCTTATCCTGTCATTCATCTTCCTCATCGTGTGTCATGACAGTTTTTCCTTATCTTGTAAACAACCATCTTCTGCATCTTGTTTGTTCTCAGCCTGTCCCCTAATCTCCAACCCCCAGAAGAAACCCTAAAAATACATCATCCTACTGGCTGTGTAGCTTTCTGTCTATACAAGCCTGGGTCTTTTCCTATATTGGGGCTTTAGTTTAGCTCCTTGCTAACCTCAGGCCTGTGAGGCTTTCACAAAATAAAGCTTCCAATGGTTACAGAGAAGATCTAAATGAATTCTTTCACATCTGAACCAGCTCTCCCAACTCTAAACCTCAACACTGTTAATTTCCCAGATTCTGAGTCTACTCACACAACAAAGGCTTATAGAAGAGGGAACTGGTGAAGGGTTTTTTCATGGGTGAAATTGTTCTTTTTCCAATGCTATTGATCATGATCATTCCTTCCATGTACTTTGTTCTCAAGACTACAGGTAACTTATAGCAAAACCTGGTACAGAAAACTTCCCTGGGGATAGAGGGAACAAAAATTTGCATACACCTTAAAATCTAAGGGAAAACTACCACAGAACAGGTGACCCTGAAGGCCCCATGATTCTGTTTTGAAGAAGATTTTTATATCAGCTTACTTGCACTCCCTATTTCAAAATAATTTAGTCTACAGTATTGATATACTGGACTTTCTTTTATTTTTTTTTTCAGCCAAAGACAAAGTTTATTAGAACATCCATCATATTAGGCAGACTCTTAAGAAGTCTGAACATTAGCAAGCTATTGGCTAGATTATAAGAATCTGACCAGTGGTTAGATTTTGGGAATCTGAGCAGTGGCTATATTATAATAATCTAAGCATCTTAATGGAGATGAGATGGACCTCATATACAGAAAGACTATGGGAGGGATCTAGGAGTGGCCAAGTAGTCTATGAGGTAATAGAACTCTAGTGGTGGCCAAGGGAGAATGGAGTCTAGATAGGATTAAGGGTGGGAAGTGGTGGGGAGGGGGATGGGGCACAGGGAGGCAAGACAATGGAAGGCCAGCCTAGGTTAAGGGCAACAGAGATTGGGCATAGCCACAATGAAAGGCCAGTTGATGGGATTATGGCCTCAGGCGACAGCCAAGAGATCTGGCCATGTGGGAAAGTCCAGAGTTTTTCCTTTCTGGTGCCCAGATCCCAACCCCATCATTCTCCCCTCAAACAAATGGAACCCAAATTCTTTTGGAGTAAAGGGAGAAGGTCTTGGCTTCTGAAACTGCTTCCTGCTGGCAAGGGGTA